TACACGGAGGCGAAAATGTTCGAGGCCCGTGTAACTGAGGTCGAGGTGCACGTGGGAACCCCGGGTGGTCGAAATTTTCCAGAGCTCTCCACCAGGATTTCCCCCACAATCCTATGGTTATGGTTATGGTTCTTATCATGCGGCTGTTTTGGGGACGTAACCTGCCACAAAAAACCATAATATTATATTTCGTCCAAATATGCCTGCTATGGCCGGGAATCTTTCTGCAGCTCTCGTAATTTCGCACTGCATGGCTATATATGATTGGAAGCCCTTCCCATGGTTTGCCGTGCACCGCCTGCGTCATTGGCCTGACTTTGAGGAAGCTACGACGTTCTGCGACGATTTCATTGGTGTGACGCTGCGTAACGTGGCGTCGCGATGACGCCATAATTACGTCACAATTTTTATTATTTGTGACGTAACATCCACTCACGAAGGACCACAGTCTTCCAGTCCCGGCGTGAACGCGGCCAGTAACTACGACGGACACCTCCTAGGGGGGTGTCTGACCAGTTCTCCGGGACCATTTAAAGTTGATTCCACTCAACATTATTTTCTCTCTCTCTTCTTCAATATTTGTGACGTCACAGTGTCGTCATGTGGAGGTGTCATCGCGCGATGATGATTTTTTGCATCATTCTTGTGAACGCCGCTGGCGGGGAACGCGGGTCAAATTTCGCGTTTGATGAGACATTTAAGCGGTGCGCCTTTACCCATAAATTGCGGCTTTTTCAACGCGTGCTTGGAATCTGGGTGAATGAAGCCCAAGAGATCTCTTCGCTGACACTCTATGGATCACCCATTGGCCTGGTCAGGAAAGTGCGGTAGTGTCCGCAAAAATAGAGAGCATTACTTCTAATACGGCTGGGTGCCCTCTCTCAGTTGACCGGGAGCCTTTCTCCTTTCGATCTGCTGTATAAGCCTACGCTGTCCCGCTCTGGTTACTCCTGTCCAAACCAGAGCAAACCTGGGGGAAATCGGCGAACCCTCCCTGATTTTCCGTTTGTCTGCTTATCCGTCCAAGTTATTGTCGCCTCTATACGTTGCGCGCTCGATTCCCAGCCACGGCGGCCGCCGCAATTTTGATGGGGACCGTGGGCACTCATTGGGTATACAGTCTCTTACGGCCGTTAAATGAGCCAGGCGTTTCAAGGACGTGGCCCGCGTGCGTTTCGCTAGTGACCGGGCCCTCACATGACTGCCTTCATTCTTCTCTTGATAGTTTGTTTCACAAGATAGGCAGATATGAGTGGTCTCAAGCGTGTGTTTTCGTGAAGCACCGCCTGTGGTCCCCGTGTTTTGGAACATAACCGTGGAACAGAACCTCCACATACCAGAATCCGCGCCCAGATTTCAGTCGTTCTTAATATCTGTGTCGGTTGGAATCCTGGTGTCGTATCCCCTTCAGAAATGAGCCATATGTTATACGTGGGAAACGCCTTCTCCGAAACGACAATGGCCGCTGCCACTATAGTTCAACCCTATTGCCCCTTGCACCTTGCACCTTCCCCGCTCCAACGTTGTTTGTTCTCTCTCATGGCACTTGTGTGACAACACATTTCGTGACTTTGGCTCGCTAGCTGAGATTATCGAGCTTGAGACTTTTGCTTTAAACCAGAGAGAAAGAGAGAGAGAGAGGGGAGAGAGAGAGAGAGAGAGAGAGAGAGAGAGAGAGAGAGAGAGAGAGAGAGAGAGAGAGAGAGAGAGGAGAGAGAGAGAGAGATGAGAGAGAGAGAGAGGAGAGAGAGACTTAATTTGGTGATCCGGCGGACGACAATCCTAAACCAGACGAATCAACTTCTGTGCTGTGTCCAAATGTAAGTAGTGAATAACAACTGCGCATCATACATATATTTCAAAACACGTATGGCTCACGTTCTTATTACAGAATAACTAATGCGCGTAACTTTCAACCCATCTTTTTTTGCAAAGGTTTTCTTTCTGTAACGATGCGGCGGACCATTAGAAGTGAATAGAGCAGGAAAAAAGAAGCGCTGCCCTTAGTGGGGGAAAAAAAAAAAGGCGATTCTATTCTCGTTTCTAAAGATGCAATGTTTCTTGTCGTTTGAATGACGTAAATGGCCGTGACTCCATCGTATGCTCATAAAAAAAAAAAAAAACCACGCATCGCATGCATACGATGCTCTGTTGTACACACGAAACGAGTATATAGGCGTAGTCCCGGAGTGCGATTTGTGACCACTCGTACGTACCTTCGATGGCCCTGCGCGGTTGCTTGTTTAGACCATCGTTACGCGCGGCTACCACGTTGGCGCGCGTCCGTGACGTCTTCGTTTGATGCTTGACGGATGCCGTTACGGTCATGGGCGATCGTGTTGTTAACTTTGAGGAGGACAGACGGATAGAGAGGGCGCTTACCTATGTTCCTCCGCTGGGGGAGAAACAAAAAGCCGTTAGGCTCAAGTGGAGATGGAGGGCGAAGACGACAGAATACGTGATTTTTTTCATGGCACAATAATCCTGCATAACTGACAAGTTCTTCATCGAAGGGGCGAGTTCTAGTGCGCAGTGGAAAATTAAAAAAAAAACGGCCCCGAACGTGCCTGATCCCGTGACTGCCCCGCGACAATTAACTCGAACTTTAAACGGAGTTTTCTGCGAACGATACGTTTCGTCGGAAAAGGAACATTTTCTCTGTAACCGCTGAAGCTATGAAATGTAAACTTTGATAATTCCTTTCTGAATACTATACGCCCTTTCTGAAGCAAAAGAAGGTTCTTGCGACCAGAATTGTATTTTTTACTATTTTTTCTTTAGGGAAAACAGTCCTACAATTCTAATCATAAACCATTTATAATTTTAACTCAGGAATAATTACGCCTACAATTGATATTTTGGTTCAGAAGGATACCTTAGGAGCATGTAATAACGAGAAGAAATTTCACAAATTTATATGCAAAATCTTTTTCACAAGTGTTCCTTCAAAAATAAATGCAGACAAATAATATATTTATTATTATTTTTATAATGGCTTTGTATTTTCTAGAGAAATTCACAAAACATATAGCGAAACCCCCATTCAAGTGAATTGCAAAGTTTTGTGAAAATTTCTTTAAAAATGGGCAGTAGTAGTTGCACACCTGTCTGTGCTTTCCACCCCTCAGTGGGGCTCCAGCCCCGAGCAGAAATGGGTCGTGCACATGGCGAAAGGTCAGTGAAAATTATAATAGTGAATTGAAGGTGATGTGTCCATGATTTGTAATATGTAGTTTCAGAATAAGGCTCCTATAGCGATTCTGTTAGGGACACACGAATAGAAATTAGGGGCGGTAAACCTAACGTTTATTCTGACGTTTCGACAAGGGGGCCGCGCTTTCATCGAAAACCGTTTATACTGAAAGCCGGTCCTCGATCGAAACTTCATGGAGGCGGAAATGTTGTGGGCCCGTGTGCTCAGATTTGGGTGCACGTTAAAGAACCCTAGGTGGTCGAAATTTCCGCAGCCCTCCACTACAGCGTCTCTTATAATCATATGGTGGTTTTGGGACGTTAAACCCCACATATCAATCAATCAATCAATCGGTTGAAACTTGAGAATGAATCTATGATATGTAGCTGCGAATATTTGCGCGCGCACACACCCACATATATGTGTGTTGTGTATCACACATGTGCATTGTACGCACACGCATATACGCGTGCGAGCGTGCGCGTATTTCGAGTGGTGTGTTATTTCGAGTTATTTCGAGGTACTTGGTGTTATTTCAAGTGGTGTGTGTGCGTGTGCGTGCGTGTGTGTGTGTCTGTGTGTGTGTGTGTGTGTGTGTGCGTGCGCGCGTGTGTCTGTATCTGTGTGTGTGTGCGTGTGTGTGTGCGTGTGTGTGTGTGTCTGTGCGTGTGTGTGTGTGTCTGTGTGTGTGTGCGCGCGTGTGTGTGTGCGTGTGTGTGTGTGCGTGTGCGTGCGTGTGTGTGCGTGCGCGCGCGTGCGTGTGTGTGTGTGCGTGCGTGTGTGTGTGTGTGCGTGCGTGTGTGCGTGCGTGCGTGCGTGCCCATACTTGCAGCATTCACGCGACCACGTTTGAGTTTGGGAAAAGTGCAAAGACCTGAATAATCATTTCCTTTATAAACAACCTGTAATTCGGTTACGAAACGTGTGATTGACAACCATCCCGTTTTTACCACGAACTAACGGGGAGACTCGCAGGAGTATTTTCAGAACGCGAAGCTTTCCTTTCTGAGAATCCGTCTGTATTTCCTTGTGTGTTATCGATGGTTTGTTGTCAATCATTCATTTCGTAACCCTTCTTCCAGCATGAGAGATAACTCATTTTGCAATGTCACGCCGCGCGCGCACAGAAAATGGCATCAACTTCTTGCTGTCTTAACATTCAATGCCATTTGCGTGGTGCGGCACGGGAATATCAAACACCATTCGCTTTAATGCAATTTCTCTACCAATGCCTTCGCTAGAACTCACTGAACAAAGAAAAGCGTACTTTCGTCTCCAAGAAATGCTCATCGTAGTGTACTTAAAAGTGTTTGAAATAGCATCTATCGTGTCGAGAATATTTTATACATGATTTTTAACCCGTGGCGTGTTGTTTCACAGTTACACTATAGCGAAATTTACTTCAGAATTGCAACGACACAGATATGACAGGCGCCATGGAGCATTTGAGGCTTCGGATTTAACATGCGATATCCGAAGTTTCTGTAGTTGTTTGAAATGTGGTGAAATTGGGGAACAAACTCAAGCTAACGGCACCATAATGTGGCTACTTCTCGCCCTTCACTATTCGGGAACGCCGGGTAGAGTTGTCAAGAACCGTGTTTATGTTTTATTATTAGTAATTTATTACCCTAAAATTGATCATTTCAGAAGTCGCTGTTATTGGCATCATCAGGTTAAATGTTATTAAGTTTTGTCGTATGGCAGGCCTCGAGTTAACTACTGAATGTCATTTATTGCGCCAGTGTGGCACGGGTGTTGTGCATTTTGTTCAACAATCTTCCCTTTTTTTTTCTCCTTATCGCAGAGGAACAGCGGCGCCTCGCTGGGTTCTTCCTCCTCTTCCTCGGCCGACCAGGCTCAGCGCGGGGCGCCCACACCCCCCGCCGTCGGCGCTCCCAATGCCCCCGGTAAGATGGTGTCCCTCCCAGCGGGCGCTCCCGCCGCACGCCTCTGCCACCTGGTGCGGCGCCCCGACTTCGACGGCTACGGCTTCAACCTGCACGCGGACAAGCAGCGCAAGCTGCAGTACGTGGGCGCCGTCGACCCGGGCAGCCCCGCCGAGGCGGCGGGCCTGCGCGCCAACGACACCATTGTCGAGGTGCGTGTCCCCGCAATGGGCTTCCACATTTTGACTTATTCGCAGCCGTTGGCAAACGCAGCTGCGCAATGCCAACACACACACACGCACACGCCTGCAAATGTCGCTCACAGGCGACGACCGTGCTGGCTCTGTTCGAAGTGGCTTTGAAAAGGGGGGAAAAGGGAAGAAAAAAAAAACGCAGTTCCGTTACTGCCTCTCTCAGTGGAGGGCACCTCCACAGTTCTACGCAGGGGAAGGGGGAACGGGAATTGTTCGTCGCGTAGAAGGTTACATGAGCTCGACTTCAGTGGCATGTCGAGCATGGATGGGCGAAAAAGTGTACAGCTCATTCATACTCGCTCAACAAATGATTTTTTAACTTTGAGCTTACTCGGAACTCAGACTCATCAAAATGTTTCTCAACCGGACCAAATGAGTGAGTTTGCCGGCCTATGATGTCGAGTCACAGGTCGAGCTTGTCGACTTCAGTGGTACTTTGAGTGATAAGTGCAGCCGATGCGGCCTGTAACAATCGCGTTTCACTATATATGCATCTTGCTGGGCAGTGTTTCGCAGCTGAATCCGGCCCTTGCAAGTTAGCTCACCGAATTCGCTTCAAAATTCTTGTGGCTCTGCCAGCCAAAGCCTACTACCGAACCCACTTACTGGATTTCAGTTAGCCAAGCTAGCTCATCGTGATGTTATCGCGTTCCAAAACACTGGCACCTACGAGTTCGTAATCTGTAAATTCCTATTTTATCAACTCCGTGGATTCATAACCTATGTTCGTATGCGGTTAAACGACGCTCGTTAAATAGAGTCGAATAAGTTTGATGAGGTGAAGCCAACTCACCGGGGTTTCAAGCACCGGCACGTCGATGCTTAAGCTGCATGTAAACGCGACGATGAGCGAGCTGGACTACTGAGATTGCAAAAAGAAAACTATGGTATTCCCTATGATACTTGTACAGACATTGTCGTTGTTCCTCGGTGGGTCGGTCGAGGCTTTGCGGCTGCTTTGTGATACCAATTCCTGTGTGTCATATATGTTATCTTGTTTTAGTGCAGTGGCTTTCGTGTACTCGGTGCATGTTTGAAACTAACTGCTGTTTCTGCATGTGGATACTTTTTGCTGGCTGTTGCTACTGGTGTACATCTAGTGCAACTAAATATTTGCGGTTGTTTAGCGTCGATGCGAAGCGCGCTGACCATTGTTCGCAAACTTCACAGCGGAAGTGCGAAGGCGGTCTTTTTTTTTTTTTTCGGCTGCAGTTCATTGGCTTCGAGAGTTCGAGTGATTTGTGCCGCTTTTGACCTCTTCAAGTGAATGCGGTTCAGTTATTTCGAGCGTTTTCTTTCGTTTTCTCGCATCACCGCCTCTGCAAATTTCGCCTTTACAAAGATTCGGCAAAGGCAGGTCATTAAAGGTCGCACATATATGCCTCAATGTAGTGAACACAAAATAGTGAATGAAACGGCGCCGTCACTTTATAAAAGCTTTGCTTATAACGAATATCCGATACAATGGAGCTATCTTCGAGTAGGATGGCCTGTTGTCTGCAGTGTATGATGAACGCGTGCGTGCGTGTTGTGTTCGGCTGCAGGTGAACAGCGTGAACGTGGAAGGCACCAACCACCGAGACATCGTCGAGCGCATCAAGTCTGTGCCCAACGAGACTCGGCTGCTGGTGGTGGACGACGGCACGGCCGCCTGGTACCGCGAGCACGGCATCGCCATCCGAGGAGACCTGCCCAACGTCATCCAGCTGAGCAGCGTCAAGGCGGCCGCCCGGCGCTCTAGCAAGCCCGCCGCCGCGCAGGAAGTCGCCGCCGCGCCGCACAGCGTGAGTTATATGCGTTGCCCTCAGCTAGACCTGTAGTCAGGAGAAGAGGGAAGGGAGTACCCTTCCCTCGAAGTTGTACATATAGAACTATTTGAAAAATTCACCCTAAAACTAAACGTATAGAACCAATAATAGAATGTTGTTTATTACGACTCGCACTTTACACATTGCGATTTTTGCCGAAAGTAATTCCCGAATGTAGGCAATTTTCTTGAGTAGTCAAAGCCATTAGCATATTTCTGCGCCCCCGAAAAAAATTTCTGGCTGCGGCCTGCTCAGAGCCATCGATAGCTCACTTCGATTTCATTTCCGCTTTATTGTTGCCGTCGTCATTGTCGTCATCATCACACCGGCAACGGTATTCACATGTAACGCAGGTAACGTTTAACAGAGAAACTTGTAAGAAGCTTAACGGCAATGCCCATGTAGTGATGGGTGTAACGCTGAGGGCCTGTACGTACAGTGACAAATGCAGTGATTAAACTCTGTTAAACAAGGTTGTCGAGCGATAGCACCAACTGCCCCGTGGGTCGGCGCCCCTGCGCGGTGAGCAGCGGCACGATGTCCGCATTTTTGTTCGTCTTTTCCGGGGCGTGCCACGTGACATGAACTGAGATCTCGCGCGCATAGAGTTTCCCAAAATTAACTAGAGGGCACTCTGGCGCTGTAATCGTTCAGCGACCATGGGAATGATGGGTAGTACACACATTTGCCTAGTCTTCGTACCTGCGGGCGACGAATCGTACTTGCGGCTTCGTTTATTGCTGGTTACGGTTTTGTTTTGAAAGAAAGAACAAACCCTTTTGAACTTAGTGACTTGATTCGAAATGGTAAGCCTAAACGAACAAGGTTGTGAAGCGCAAACGGTGAACATTTGCTTATTTATTATGTTTTCGTGAAAAAGCAGCTCCAAGCCACACGAACACACACGGAGCCAGAAACAGGCCAGAAGTACGAAAATGAGACAAATGTGTGTACTACCCAACATTCCCATGCTCGCTGAAGCGCCGTGTGTTGCAGCTCCCATAGACACTTGCGCCAGAGTTCCCTCTAGTGTATGTTTAGGAAACTCTATGCTCGCGGCATGCTGGCTCGCGGCTCTCGCCGATTGGTGGAGAGGAAGGAACGCGTGGCTGAGAAAGACCGACACTGCGCATGTCCGTTGTCATGACGACGCACGGGGGAGACGGAAGTGGAGGAAATTGTCCTTGGCGGAGCTTCGAGGTTAAACGGATGCACATACTCGCTCTTTGACTTTCTGCCAGGAGGAGTAGAAACGTCGCTCTAAAACATCAGTTATAGCATTAAAAGACAGGAAGAGGGCAGAGTGGTTCAGGGAAGAGACAAGGGCATGAGGAGAGAAAGGGTACGTCTATGTAGGCAGTGCACAACGAGGCGTAAAGGAAATTGAGCTTGGCAGGATGTGAAATGCGCAGGACGTATTTGCCGGCGCTCTGTTAAAATGACTCAATGGCTGCCCAGGGTATAAGGAAGCGCGGTCGAGGACGGCACAGAGTTTGGGGGCTCTGATGAAACGAGGAAATTCGCACGCATAAAGAGTGGATCCGATGATGTGAGTCAGCGGTAACTGAAGGTCGCTTGAAGGAGCGTTTGTGCTTCTTTGGACATAAAATGCGGCGATTATATTGGCATTGATTTATTACTTTGGTTACCGATAACTCAATGAGTCGTGTTACGCAAATGCTTATGTATGTATCACCCTGAAAGAACTCAAATAGAAAGATATTCGAAAATGGAGGTGCCAATTAAAACGCCATGGAAAGATTTATACAGTGGCGTTCAATATGAGTTGCAGCACGGGAACCGTGAGTCAAGGGTCCTCATGCCTGTGTGGTGATCCTTGGGAACGTTAAATTGGTTGAGAGAATAGAGGGTTTTAGCGAGCTACGGAAACACGTTAGGGAAATACGACGTGGTTCCTTTACACGTGCGAGTAGAATGTTCGCGCATGCGCACTCGTCAACCGGTTCCGTATTGCCGCCTTTCCGTGACGTGTTTCCGTAGCTTGCTGAAAACCTCCAAAACTAGTAACTAGAATAGTGTCTACAGGTGTAACTTCTGTTATGTTGGCATCGATTTTTAGTTGTTGGCCAACGTTATTAAAATAAACTAGTAACGTTGGGGAAGGGGACGGACATTATGTTGCAATTTATATTGGGCAAGATCGTACTTGTTTTCAAATGTCTGCGCTGATTGGTCAGTTTTTTTTTCTAGTATGTTGATCAGGTCAAACACAAGAAGGAGAGAGATGGAAAACGAAATCGTCTCAGTTGGATCCGTCTTAATCGTGTGCGCCATGTTTCTCAACTCGTCTTCATCAACATATGGCGCAATAGCGGACAACGGACAAATAAATTAACAAAAAAACAGGCGCTTGCTCTGGTGTTGTTGAACACTATGTCGTTAGCTCGGTGTTGTTTAACGTTTAAACTGTCCTAACCAGGTAAGGTCAGTTCAATTGACCTCTGTTCTTTCCTGTAAGCCTAGACTAGCTTATATACTCTTAAGCAGGTCCCGTTTAGAATTTTGGATGTAGCCCAGAAACCGGACATCTTTCTTCTGGTTTTCTGGATATAGCCAACATTTGACGAGGATTCGACTAAGAGTGTAGTTTGATCTGTTCTTTTCTGAGCTGGTGAGTAGTAGGCCACATGCGCACCGCGCTACGTAACTACAGTTCGTTGTCCGCCTCGGTGGTGCGATATCGGTTACGGCATTCGGCTGCCAACACGAAGGTCTCGTGCTCGATGCCTGCCGCGGCAGTCGCAATCTGACGAGGGTGAAATGTGGTTGAGGGACCCTATGCTGTGCAATGTCAGCGCACGCTAACTAAAGAACGCCGGACGGCCCAAATTTCTCGCAGCCCTTCAAACGGGCCTGCATCTGTGACTGTGTGGTCTTGGGTATAATCAATTCCTGTTTTTCCTGTTGTCTGCTATCCGTCGGTTCTGCCTTTCACGCCAAGTGAGGCTTTGGCCAACCAATATTGTATCTCGTAGTTGCTCCCTCAAAATGTCAATGTTGTTGTTGTTATTATATCATGGTTCTTGCTATATTGTCAGTTATAAAACAATATATAGTCTAGAGATTACCTTTGCTGCAACTGTATTTGCAAAATTACGTTTTTTTTGTTAAACTTATTACTGTTTACTATTTGCAATAGTGGGTTCTTGACATTTCGCTCACTTGGGCATAGGAGGTTTAACGTCAGGTGCTGAGATGAATCTATTTCGAAATTTCTTTAACGCTGAACGCGAGTGCGCTTGTGTGGTTCTTTTATAGCTCGATTGGAGAACGTTGAGCGAGGAAACGATAATTTACAGCGATGCATACCTGCAGAAAAGCACGCTCGACCGTGCACCGAAGAGAGAGAGAAAGAGAGAGAGAGAGAGAGAGAGAGAGAGAGAAAGAAAGAGATGGAGTGAGAGTAGAACGTAGAAGGAAAAAACAAAAACAAATCGTGAATTCCAGGAGCGCGCTTGCTGCTCGTGCAAAATAACAAGCTGCCTGTCGGGCGACGGCGATGTAAGCGGAGCCGGCGCATCAAGGCCGTCGTGCCTGCCTCGCGAACGGGACTGCAATGCGAGTTTCTTCCTGGGTACGGGTGCTACCGCGCAGACTGGCGCAAGCTCGGGCAACCTTCGCGCGTTGCCTTCGCGCGTTGTGCGCACGTGCGAAGTGCAATTCCCCTCTCCCCTTCTTTCTTCGTCACTTTCGCTGCGCTGAATGCTCGCGGGAGGTGCATTTCGCGATTCGCGGGCAAGCTTTCGTCTTAATAAACGCGGTCCCGCTACACAATTTTCTTCAAACCTTGGCCCGCAGCACGGTGTTGCCCATGCGCGTGCACACTATGGGCGAGATTGGATGGGAGGAGGGGATCATATTAACGCGGCAGCGTTGGAGGGCTCGTTTCGCAGAAATATTGTTGTCGGCTTTTTTGGTTGTGAGCAAAAAAAGCATGTTGGCTGTAAGCAAAAATTCCAAGTAAATGCAAATAAAGGTAACAGTCGGACGACGTTTGCACTTTGGTTTTCCTTACGACACACCCCGTATTCACAAACGCTCCTCGACTCGACTTTCTTCTTTCACTTCACAGAGCTGAGTACTGCGCCACCACTCGGCTGAAAATGACGCTGCGCTACTCAAGAATCACAGCAGATTATTGCTGATATGCAGTGACTTGCCGTGCCTAGAGACAGCGCTACAATCTGCTCTCTCAAGTGAAGGTGAATCGTTGAGTGAAGGGACGTTCTAGATTATGGGGGTTAAGGTATCCGCCGAAATGCTAAGGCACGCTGGGAAGGCGACAGTGTGCGTGCCTGTGTGCTCCTTTTCACTTGCGAGTGTAACGAATAAGACGTGTACCTGATTGACCACTATGCCTTCGCGTCCATCCATCCATTGACCAAATTCTCAACGGTTGTTATTTTCTCACCGCCATCACCTCCAGAATGTCCAGGAGACGGCCCCTGCCGCAGCTGTCCACGACGGTCTCCGCCTGTGCCACCTCTCCAAGTGGCCAAACTTCGACGGCTACGGGTTCAACCTGCACGCCGACAAAAAGCGACAGGGACACTTCATTGGGCAGGTGGACCCCGGCTCACCCGCCGAGCTCGGAGGCCTGCGAAAGAACGACCGGCTCCTGGAGGTGAGAGGGCCTCGCCGGTACTTTCGTGGATTGAGATTCTTGGGAATAAAAAGGGGCAAGAATGGGGGTTAATGATGCAGTGTAATGCAGGGTTCTTTTTATAGTTCGTAAGAGCACTCAAGGTTTCAGCCTGTCAGAGTCTTAACGAAGGACAAAGCCGATTGTAACAACAAAAGTTCAATAGAGAAGTAAAAGATAACTTGCCGCGGGCAGAGGCCGAACCCGCAACCTTCGAACATACTAGTAGTAAGGTAGCAGTAGTAGTGTTATTTCCATCTGATATTCTGTAGTGCTGGCTGATAAAACATGTACAAGGGGAGTCAAAAGTTCCTAGGCCACTATTCCATGCATTCTTATGGGAGCGTTTCGTGGGAACTTTTGACCCCCCCCCCCCCCCCGCTGTACGTCTTAAAAGATTAGTTTTTTTGTGTCACTAACGTTTTCACGCCGTCAATGCCGACGCCGACGGTCACAACCTGCCTTTGAAGGTCTTACCACACGTACGCGTTAGAGCGCGTGGCTTTTTGACGCGGAACCGTGCCCTTTCCATATGGAGGGGAAGGCGGGCAACTTTGAGTAGCCGCTTTCCCTCTCTCTCTATAGGGAGAGGGTGCTGCGCCGCGTCAAAAAGCCACGTGCTGCGATGCGTACGTGTGGTCAGACCTTCAAAGGCAGGTTGTGACCGTCGGCGTCAAAACATGAGTGACGCAAAAAAAAAATTCTTATGACGTACAGGGGAAGGGGGGGGGGGGTGTCAGAAGTTGCCAGGCTACGCTACCATAGGAATAAATGAGATAGCGGCCTAGGAACTTTTGACTCCCCTTGTACATGTTTGAGTAGCCACGTCGGGCCTTCTGAGAGGGGTGCAGCGCCGCGTAAATAAAAAGGGCCACGTGCTGACGCGCTGGAACGCGCACGTGTGGTCAGGCTTTGGCGTTGACGCGTTTATCCGAAACGTCTGTCAGTGTTTTCTCTCTGCACCTGTGCGACTCACCGACGAAGCGCGCTCATTTGTAGCGTCGCGTCGCAGGGCGCAAGTTTCCGATAGCGACGACGCCGACGGAGACGTTAGGGGGCCGCGAGCAATACGGCGTATCGTATTCGCGTTAGGCGCCGTGTGGAGATGGACTGGGAAACTGGACACGACGTTGCCGCGTGCGCCAAGCTAATCTGCAGACTCGCGTAAACAAGTCGTGCTTGTCGTTGCGCCTGCTTCGCGCAATAGGAATACTTAGCCTCGGATCGAGCATCTGTAGCAGGAATTGCAGCGTCGAAGTAATATTGCGAACTAAGGTGGTTGGTATGTCTATCTTGCGAACTGGGCAGCTTTCATCGAAACAAAAGTTAAAGAATATGATCGAGATGGATGAACTCTTACTTGCAGGTAATACACATCTCGCACGAGCAGAACCTTTTTCACGACTAATGATCATATTCCAGTGTTCACATTATTTGTAAGTGGTGGCCTTTGCAACATTGCTCATTGAAAAAAAAAATGTTTGTGAGCGCTGATAGCGCATTCAGAACAAATATGTAGGCGTTTTTTTTTTTTTTTCGCATTCCGAGACTTATACCTGGAGAGCACCAGCTGTGAGACGGAACAGCCCGAAACCCCGAGTGATTTACGCATATTACGTATCTTTCCACGTTTTCAGCCTTGTCAGCGCCGAAAGTACTTACGACCATTTTGGTACAGTACCGAGCGCCTCATTGCGTACGCTTCAGACATAAGGTTTCGAAAACCATTCTTATTTAACAATACGTTTTCGATTATGAATATCTTCTTTTGAAACTTACTTAGCTATGGCCATAGTCCCTCATTATATAGCTTTGAATGTCTATGAAGCTTTTGAGGGCTTGGAAGTATTGAAGGACTATACGGTATTGCTCACAAACACTGCATCCGCAGATCGTGTCTGTCTTAACCTACAGTAGAGAAAATGTAAGGCGTTGCTAGGAACCGGAAATGCGTGAAAGAAAATAAAACCAAAACGGGGAATAGCCTGATTACTTGTATAAGTTGTCTTTCGAGCCGCCTCGAGAACCGTGTTTCTATTGTAAACTGTATGCGCTTAATCCCTGACGCCACGTATCCGTAGCATCGCGTCAGCGCGAGGCTTTTTCACGCGGCGCCGTGCCCTCTCCCTATAGAGAGAGTGGGTGCGTGGCTACGCGAAGCCTCTCTCTCTCTCTCTCTCTCTCTCTCTCTCTCTCTCTCTCTATATATATATATATATATATATATATATATATATATATATATATATATATATATATATATATATATATATATGGGAAAGGGCTCGACGCCGCGTCACAAAGACGCGCGCTGACGCGATGCGACGGATGCGTGGGGTCAGGCGTTTAGTGTTCCTCATAGAGTAGTGATGCACGTGTGTATGTTTCCCGTTTCTGTTCGTATTTCGTCAGTGTACTTCGCGTTATCACCTGCGTGTGTGCGCGCTCACACTTATATTCGTTAATTTCTGCGTATTTGCATAAACTTCTGCCGAGAATTTCTATCCACACCTTCTGTCCGCGTCTTCGGTGTGCTTCATCCTAGTTTTTGAATAGTGAAAGAATGTATGACAACTAGCCAAACTCGCCACGCTACTTCTAATTGTAGTGGGTTAACAGTCATAGTCGCCTGGCCGTACCCTGCAGACAACTATGGTCCCACTTGGGAGAGGTCTCGTCCAGGCGCTGGAACACCGGGCCCGTGCCCCCTTCCCCCTAAATGTTTTTTCTCCATGGCGTACTGAGTGAAAAGTGACTATCTGAAGTGGTGCTTTCTCCGAAATCAAAAAGGTGCCCCCCCCCCCCCTCATAAAAAAGAATTCTGGATTCGGCCCTAGTCCCGTCAGTCGTTGCTGCCTCCTGTACCAAGTGTACGGATGCGCGTTTCCTGTCCGCTCGCTTGCTTTCTCTAAACTTGTTGTTTAAGCTGGCAACCTCGACAACCTTTCAACGCAGGTGAACGGCATCTCGGTGGAGGGCGAGAGCCACCGCGAGATCATCGAGCGCATCAAGCGGGACCCGACGCAGGTGGAGCTGCTCGTCATCGACCGCGAAGGGGACGAGGCCTTTGCGAAGAGGAAGCAGAAGCCCTGCAGCCAGTCCGAGAGCGTTGTGCGCAGGCGCACGCCGGCCCACCAACCGGGCACCGAACCACAACAGCAGGTCTGTCAAACTGTTTCTCTCTCCCTGTTATTTAGGCGTGAACTGGCGAGGACTCAAGGCAAACTTACAACGCGAACGCCGTGTTGTGTGAAGGCACTCCTTGCTTTCTTCTGCTACGAATTTCTACAAACTGCAACAAAGCGTTGCGTAGTTCCAGTAAATAAACAAACTATTTTTTTCTCTTAGTACTAAATTACAATTTCTCAATACCGAAAACAGCATTTTTACCGCTAAAGAAACTTGGTTAGCGAGTCAGCGTGCGAAAAGAAAATATGGTTGGCGACGCCAACTGGAAATACGTGCGCGATACATCGTGACTTCGTTGATTTCGACGGCCTCCACGCCGTCATGCGTATACTTTCCAATCGGTAAAAATTAAGTACATTGTCCACCGAGAGGACCACATGCTTAACACACAAAGTTTCAGAAAATCTCGTTCAGCCACTGTCGCCAAATTACGAAAAAGACATATTCAAATCAGTGACGTCATTTGTGCAGATTTCGGCGCGGAATTTAAAAATGAAATGCCGACCTCCATTTTTCTCCTTTGTCGATACGGTGGTGAAATTGACATTAGGGCTCTCTGAATACAGTTCACCAATGCACGCTGGTTTATCGGTTCACTTTAGTATTCGTTTAACTTATCTACGTCGCGATTTCTGAAGGTACCGTGAGAGGTGCTATTTTGGGACGGGATCTTGTAGCACGCCTGGTCCTAGATCGGCGTGCGAACGTTTTCAATCTTTTCGCGCGCTTGGCCAGGAACTACCTCTATTCGCCATCGGAGACTCGCATGTGCAGGAATTCCAGTCTCTTGTAACCGAACGAAAACCAAAAGCGTACAAGGTCCCGCTCCAGGCGTTCGTTACATATATTTTGATGCTTCGCCCAGGTCTGGCCGGCTAACACTGCTTGTAGCAACATGGTTACCATCTGCACCACTCGCTAGTCAGCACTGGCACAATGTAAAGAATTTGGAAATGTACCGGAGATGTCATAAATAAAGTGCACCCGTTACTTTGGCCGATTCTCACCAATTAGTTCCCGCATGTGATGGCCGCGTCATTTCTTTTTTTTTATAACGACAATCTATGTGCAACCTTGTAGTAGACGAAAATAGATCACTCCGCAGAACGCTCAGAAGTTGAAAACAACGCCACTAAGTAGGCTCCCGTTTCGACATGCACTTTCGCGCCAGCCTTTCATGAAGGTTACCGCAGGCCGTAAGTGATGGGTCTTCGGCGGCATCCGGGCCTCAAAGGGCCTGCGACTTTGTCAGCTCTTCGTCAGGCGACGCGGTGGGCAAGCCGCCGCCGCGCGTCAAGCAATGCAAGACCTCCAAGTCCAGCAACCAGGTTAACAACACATCCACGAAGGAGATGGCGAGAGCCACTGTCACCCCAGACACGACGAAGTCCTCCACAGCTGCCCAGGAGGCCAAGCAGCGTCCACCACACGAGGCGGGGACCTGCAAGCCCGCGCTTCTCAAGGACAGTGGAGGAGCCTCAGAGAAAAACCGGGCTACCGACCAACCTACGGACCAGGGCGAGGTCAACCACCTGGACAATGGCCAGGCTGCCGTCACTGCCGACGCGCCGTCTAAGAAGCGGCACGATACACAGCCATCGCGCGGCAACCGCGGTCTTCTAGACGAGAGCAAGGGCGAGCCCCGGTCCAAGACTCGCGATAGTAGTTGGACGCGCGAGGGCCCGCCATCCCCGCCCCGCTTCTCGTATCGCCACCAGCAACCGTCTCCGAACGACATCTACGGTTGGTTTCCGCAGAACGACTTCGCGTCCGCGGACGGCAACGCGTGGCCCTTCGCCGACGCTCAGCAGCCGTGGTCGCCGTTTCCCCCAGCGTACGGCTTGTTTCCTTCCCCATACGCCACTCCGGCGGCAGCCTACCCTCCGCCGCTCAGCCCGTTCCCGCCGTACCCGTACTCGACGTACGTGCCTTTCCAAGCGCGCGCCGTCTACTGGCCCGCTCAGGCGCCTCCGTACGCGCCGTTTTCCGCCTACTACGGCTACCCGGTTACGGCGTGGCCGCCTCCGGTCCACCCTGACTTCGCGTATCCCTCACCGCACTCGATGGCCCCGCCGTTCGCCGCCCCAACGGCGACTGTGCCTCACGAGCAGTCGAGGGGTCATCTAGGCGCCGCAGCGCACCCATCGGCGCCCGCGGACGTGCGAGCTGGTGGACAGACTCCAGCTGGCGCCACCGCGAACAGCAAGAACTAGGGAGCAGAGCTACGCCCCCCGGCAACTCGCACGACTAAGTTCCCCGTTGAAATTTTGGCACACATCATGCAGTCAAGTCGTAAAGCGACTGGTCGCACAGGGAAGATAGTTGCGATTCGGGCTATAGCCGTAATTGCTGCATTGTACACTCTAGTGCATTCGGGCTATGTTTGTAACCACTGCATTGTACACTCGTGCGAGTGTCGATAGTGCTATCAAGAAAATCGATGCGTTCAGATTGATATAGAAAGCAGTGCTAGGACACATACAAAAGGGCAACAATTTAGAAGACAGGACACGCGTTGTGCACAGAAGACAGCTAGAACAGCGGATGCTGTGAAATGTGTGTGAATTGTGTGGGAATTGTGTATGAATTGTGTGAATTGTGTGTGATTTCCAACAGGTGTGTGGTTGATTTTCAAAAAAAAAAAAAGACTGGGAACTTTACTGTTACGATTTATTGATGGATTGGTTGATATGGGATGTTTAACATCCCGAAACCACCATATGACTTTGAAAGGGCAAAAATACACAAGAAAGTGCACGCCGCAAGCGCGTTTTTTTTTTTTGCGTATGTGTGTGTGTGTGTCCGTCCTTGTGTTTTCTTGTTGTCCTTTTTGTGCGCTGATCGAGAGGAGTATGTTCCAACTAGCCCAATTCGATAGTTTACTTCAGCTCTTTAACGTGCACGCAAATCTGAGCCCACGGGCCTACAACATTTCCGCCTCCATCGGAAATGCAGCCGCCGCAGCCGGGATTCGATCCCGCGACCTGCGGGTCAGCAGCCGAGTACCTTAGCTACGGCGGCGGGGCTACTCTGTGTTTAGAAAAAGTGTTTTACGCAATAGAGATACTGGGTACTCCTCTATGGGAGAGCATAAAGCCGTCCCTATTTGAGGTTCGCAATCGATGAATCGTTTATGTTTAGAAAAAGGGGGGTAACGATTTAGAGTACGAGGTACTCTTACTATGGGAGAGCGTAAAGCCGTCCCGTGTGCTTCGTTTATGAGGGCCATGTTTAGGCGAAGCACGTATATAGTGGGACATACTGTCTACGTGCAAATAGAGGCGCACAAGTGAATCAATAGCCGGCCAGCTGCGCCAGGCTTACCACGCCTGCGTCAACAGCGTCGTTACCTCCACTGTTGTCTCAGCACTGCCTTTTACATCATTATGAACCCAAACCAACCCTCCAACTGATCTGTTATTCTGCAAGCGATGCCTCCTCGTATTTCGTTGATTTGTCCCGTCCCTTGCGCGTGCGCCTAGTACCAGTGTGACGGAAGTTTTCGCTTTTGGCCGAAAAGCGACTGCCCTGCGTTAAGAATAGCATATAGCTTGTGCATGTGGCACGTAACGTAAGCGCTCACTTGGCCTTGGACGGGACTAGCAAGCCTACACGATTGTGCTTACTGTCAACTGTTTGTTTCTTTAGCGCTTGTGTCGCCTAGCTTATCCCCTCCCGAGTATGCGCTAGTCCATTCGCCTTGCTGTATAGTGCCCGGACAGCTCGCTTTTCCGGCCGCGCTAACGCAAATTTCGCTATAGCGAAAGCGGCCAGCCTTGTTGCGGCCTACAGCGAACATTTTGCGACTATCTTTTTTTTGGACCGTGGTCGCTTCGTCACTTGACTGTACATACATTACGAAATCTATGTACGAAGAACTTCGTCGCGCCGCATTGCGAGTTGCCGGTGTGGATGAGTCCAATAGCGGGCGATCATCCTTTAGTTTATCCTCCCCGTCGCTTTGTCAATGACATCGTGTACCATGCGAGTCCGGACAGTCTTTGGAGTAAGCTTTCAACCGTCGTGTGTCGTTAGTTTTGTAGTCGTGTTTAGCACTGTCCTGGTTGCTGTCACCTCGTTTGGCGTCTTTATACCGAGAATAGTTCGGAGCGACAGTGGCCATCACCGAATCGGTGCCGCATTGTTAATTGGCACATCTTTCGCGCAGAACTAAAAAAAAAGAAATAAGTAAATACGAATGGTCCTTCGGTTTGCTTAATCCTATTTACGTTGGCATGACGTGCGGAATAATTGCACGGACACACTGCCAGAGGCCGTTTCACGAATCATTTAACTGCGTCTGATCACCAAGCATCGCGCTAAAGTACAGTGAAGAAGAACCGCGAGCAGTGTGCCATCTGCACTCCCTGTTTATTTAGCTTTTTTTTTCCATTGGTTGTAGCTGGGACGGTGACAAGAAGCCATAAAAGGCTCTGTAAGTATCCATGATACAATCGAGAACCATGCTAGCATCCTTTTATTGCCAGCAAGGTCAAAGCGGGATGAAAGTAGCGCTCCGCGCTGCTCTCGTTTCTTTTTGTTCCTTCCCCCTTACAGTATGCCAGTCTTTACCACGACCCTTTAATAAACTTCGTTGCCATATACCGCAATAAATTTTTTTTTGCCGGCCGAATTTCAGTTGGATACGTCCTCGTATAGCCCTTATCTGCATTGTCTGTAAGTATCCATGATACAATCGAGAACCATGCTAGCATCCTTTTATTGCCAGCAAGGTCAAAGCGGGATGAAAGTAGCGCTCCGCGCTGCTCTCGTTTCTTTTTGTTCCTTCCCCCTTACAGTATGCCAGTCTTTACCACGACCCTTTAATAAACTTCGTTGCCATATACCGCAATAAATTTTTTTTTGCCGGCCGAATTTCAGTTGGATACGTCCTCGTATAGCCCTTATCTGCATTGTCATGCCGGTATGCAACGCCCGAACTGGAACGTATTACTCACTTGCTTATCGAAATA